ATCTATTGTAATAATTAATAAAGTATATAATGGTATAATAGAACAGGGTAAGGTAATTTAAATAGCTTAGTGATTATTAGCCAGCGCGAATTTGTTGTCGTGGAAACAGATATACTCAAATATTGTCTGTCAGGTAGAATAATCTTGCTTTAACTACAAGTGAAAAAAAATTGTCAGTTCAGTAAGATCCAGAGACTGTTTCCAACCCTTATCTCACTCACAACTTTTCCTCTGTGTTAGATTAGTTTTATTATATATTGATAGTAACATGAATACAAAGTCGGGCTATTAGATAAGTGTATTAAATTTAAAAAAAATCGTAAAATATCTATGGTAATTAACACTTTCAAAACTGACCTACATAAATAAACATATTGAACTTCTTAAAGTTATTTTTCCGTCACATATTAGTATTTCAAAAGACATGAACAACTGGAACAAAGCTGAACAATCAGTTTATACCGAGCCAATAAAACGATAAAATCTTTTGACGAATAGCGTAATCAACAATGGTTGGAAACAATAAAAGTTTCAGCGCAATCCATTTTCCAACTAACAATAAACAATTTTCCTGTAAAATAAGAGTAATTACCAGCGTCCATGTGAAACGGTAAGGGTAATAAATCCATTTAGCTCTGAAGGGGCGCTGATTTTCCCCGCAAAGCCCGACTATCTAGCAATTAAAACTTAACACCTGTATGCATTCGTCTGGAAATGAGTTTACACCTGTACACTAGTTTATTATTACATAATATAGTATGAACAGTCTTGGCCTCGTATGTTAACCATGGGGTCGAGTGTTTGTTCCCTGATCAGCGATGATGTTTCCATCTTTGAGCAAATAACTCTTGTTCGTTTAGTGATCGATCAAAACTTAGGGGCTTAAGCCCAAGAATAGACGAATTTTCTTGGCTAAAGAAGGCGGGCCTCTTTCCTGTAAAATCATTATCAATAAAAGAGAAATGTGAGAGGATTTGAGATCAGAAGTTTTGATCTTCATTAGACAAAATTTACAAAGTATTATGTTCGTGTTCACTTAGTATGATGTTATATATTCGAGAATAATAAGTATATTATTATATTATCATAGTAACTTCCTTCACTTTCTAACAATAACATTTTACACGAATATAGAATGTATTACAGTATTAATAACAATTAACATAAAATCTATGTTAGTAATGTACGTACCATGTTTCTATTAAGCTAACATGAGGAAAAGTGTTTTCATAACAAATTATTGATAAACAACCTTCAAACCTATAAGAGCTTACAAATAAGAAACGACCTGGAAACGAAACATCTGTGTTTGACGTCATTTTCGGTAATATGTGTTTGCATTTTTGAAAGCTCTAGTGTTGTCTGACGGATATCCGGAGGCGCCGCATCTAATGCGCATTGCACTTAGCCATAACACGTCACTATTTAGTCAAATAACAGTCCTAATGTACTTTAGAATGCTACAGTACACCTAATGTACTTGGAAGTGCATAGTATTCTCCGTAGTACTGGGACGGGCTAAAGCAGCGTATATAAATCGCGGATGTTCATAGTCAAAAAGGAACTAAGTGAATTAATGTACAGGAAATACGAAAGAGTGAGTTTGGAAAAGTTTGCTACTTAAAATAACTATTTACCTTCAGTTACAAAAAAATTAATAATTATATTTTTTGCGTGTCACGGATAGATGGTTGGTTGAATAAGCTCTTGGATATTAGAGTAATAAAAAGAAGGTAGCCATAATGTCTATGCACATTAACCAGAATCTGAATTCCATCGCAATACCTGACCTACATTTGCCATCTTCAATATCACCTAGATCTAGATTTATTGCTTTAAATGACTGAACAGAGAAGAGGTTTAATAATAAATATAAAAGGCTTATATTCATTAAAAATACAGAGAATCTAGATTTAATTAATATTCAACGTGCATTCTGTGTTGAGGCTTCTTTTTTATCTATTATTTATAGTAAATATTATAAAATATAACCCATAAAACTCACCTACCGCCTCTATGGTTAAGTAGTAAACGCGCGTACCCGAAGGTTATATTTACGGAGAAATGATAGTTTTGCGTTAGACGCAAATGTCGAGTTCAAAATATTGTGATAAATTCACGTATTCACGCATTTGTTTTGTATTTTTCTGGAAGAAACCGCTGTTATCTTATCATAACTAATTTTTATCATTACCTATTTTTAAGTTAATATAAGTGATGTAAAAGTGTTTATTAGTATTAACTCACGTAAACAAAGACATCTTATATTCCAATAATTAAGAGCACATAGGAATACCTTTAATCCTTTGCACAAGCTACCTGATTAATTCCCTTCTGTATAATTTGGTTCCATTGTACCGTTAGCAATTCTGCTGTGAATTGTGATTCTGTCCTTACTTGATTTAGACAAGAACCTAGGGATTTAGACTCCTTGTAGGCTTATACGGGCTGCGTATAATCTAGTCAAATTGGAAATCTTATTACGAAAAAGGTTCGTCTAATAAACTTTTTGAATCTTCAATATTCAAATTATTAATCTAATCGGATTTTCAAGTTTAAAGATTGCATTTTTTGTGTAGATATAGTTTCAAAATGTGTTTAATTCATGTATGGCTTTACTGGGACTTAGTACAGTTGGATCATTTGTATGCAGGTCTCTTTAGTACGTACTGAAAAGCCTATATTCAATATATAGAAATATGTGTCTGGGCTACATTTATTTATAGATCATAGAATTTTACATAGTTCGGTTTTATTACATAAAACATCTTTTCATATTAGCAAGTATATGCAATGAAGAAAAATACATTAAATTTTTTTTACTAAAAAGATAAAAATGTGTACGATTACTGAGAGTTTCATTAAATTATGCGTAGTATGAAAATAACGTGTTAATTAAAACACTTTGTAATATACTCACCATAGTTTCTAATATATTAAAACCTAACCTTTAAAGTAATTTTAATATTACAATTATTTATTAAAATATAAGAGATAAACCATACACTAAAAATGATTATAAAATGTGATCACGACGACGATTGCACGTTATACAGTAAATAATTCCATAGCTTTTAAAAGGTGAGTGCACGCTGCAAGTAGCTCTAGATTTTCAAACCAAAGCCTTTCAGACTTTTAGCCAACGGCTTCACATAGAGTAACGTACAGCCGTAGAATAAAAAATACTACTAAGACAGATAATTTATTATTGCACCCGAGTCTTTATGAGTAGTATTTTTTAATAGAATGAACAAATTATTATTTAAGGCATAGACAATAATTCGGAACAAGAAAAAAGTTAACAGACTGTTGGCACAGCTTCTTCCAAACGTCATCAAGAATTGTAAAGTGTCAAAATAGAAATTCATAGAAACAAAAGAAACATAATGCTATTGCGTTATCTGCGCTTATTGAGTCAAAACTTATTATTCCGTCTGATTAAATATTTGATTCCCTCTATCCCTGTTAACTTTATTTCCAATATTTGGCTGGAATTGGCACTCTCTAACTGGTTCAAATAATTGCGACATTATTTAACGGCGTTACCCAATTTCGATCCAGTTCTTTCAGTATCTGTACCATTGTAGTTGCTAACGAATTCCAAATTTATTAGGACCTCAATATTTTTATCCCTATTGAAGGTGAGCGGTAAGTCTGCATGTCAACGTATGCTATATGCAGTCGCATGCATACACCAGCCTGCTTAGACGGGAATTCATAATCTTTGGTCTCGTTAAGGCATAAGAGGCCGTGCAGGCTTGCATTAAGTTGTATAAGGCATTAATGCACCGACGCGCGGAGCCGCATGACCGCGCCTACTCATACGACTAACTAATAATGCACGGATTTTTTAAATCCTTTGTAGGGAACTCAAGTGTTTCTTCGCAACGTGAAATGCAAGGAAAATCTCGCAAATTAGCCCTGGAAAACTGCTTTCATAAAACGCCTTTTGTACACTTGCTCCTTGTTTAATTGCCTAGTTTTGTCAGAATGTAAAGTTTCATTAATGTAATATCTTATTTATGGAGCCTAATTGCCGTACTCGTTTACCTTCAAAAAAACCTTTGAACAATGATGTTATGAAGAAACTAAATCCGTAATTACTGAACAATTCTTGGACACGTTATCATAGTAATAAAAATATTATGCGAGACTGACAACTATATTATGTTAGAATTATATTAGCTATATATAGATTTTTATTTCAATAAAGTCATTATTATTTCGGAAGTATCAAAAACCGAGTCACAATTTACATAAAAGAAATCAATAACTAGGTATAATTCGACATCGTTTCTCTTAAGCATTATTAACATTCAAAAATGTCCAAAGCATCACAGAATTTCGTTTACACTCATCATTTCCGTCCTCTACCAACAATGGGTACTGTAATAGGTACATAATAATATTCACCACGGCCCTCGGAGATTACTGTTCTGCCTCAAGGCCCCGCCGCAAAAGTTACAACCCTCTGATTAAATGCATTCGGTGCGTCGGAACGCTATGAAAATTAATAAAATATGATGAAAATGCCTTCAGGCTTCAAAAGTAGAATACGAAATAATATACCCTAAGATATTTAAATAAAACAATTCCTTTGGGAAACAGTTTAATATTTGAATGACTTAAATATTGTAAGCGACTTAATTAACGTCAGTTTTATTATGTCGTAACAATCAATGAGGTTAATGAACTTTGTGCAAAGAGTTGAAGTTAACTGGCAAGTGAAGAGAACAAATTTGATTTTAACTATACAGTATTTAACACAGGTCTCGATTATTATCTATCCGTTACCTATGCAACATAATGTTATTACAATATAATAACTGTGAAGTGTTGATTTCTAGATTCTTCTTTTATTTGAATGACACCTCATTGAAGTTTAATGCAATTACGTTACATACATACGGACCGAAATAAATATTGCTATTATAATTATTATAGACGACGACGTACTTATATATAATAATGACATACACAAATAATATAAATTGAAAATATTATTTTTTGGGACTCTGAACATTTCTCACTAATGTGAAAAATGAATATGCAGTTTTCAAAATCTGAAAAATAAATTATTATATTTTCGTAAATGTTTATTATATTATAATTTTACATATAAATGTCAATTATACTAAGTTTTGTTAAAAATTAAATAAGTTTTACCGATGTAAACGTATCCAAAGTTAATGGAAAAAGCCCACATCCGCTGAAGACGATAGGAGTGTTGGCCCGTAACATGAAAAGTTTAAGGCTTCGCTTGAAACTTTCTGATCTAGCTATCCACTCCGAGCAGTAAGCTGCGTTGACTAGATCTTGACACTACAAGAAAAAATATTATTAAAGACATTTTATTATTCTAATACTTTTTTAAAGGCCTCCATGCCCTGTAAATTAATTTTGACATGCGGTCATCAGTTATATTATGCAATGCGCGTTACGGACAAGCTATGGAGGCAACGCCCATTAAATTTTCTTTTTTTATGATATGTTGAATTAGTTTTGCGAATATTGGTCTTATAATCAAATCGCATTAAAAGCACATATTTCTCTCTTTTCTAAGGCAGTCCGGTTTCTTCACGATGTTTTCCTTCACCGTTCAAGCGAATGTTAAATGCGCACATAGAAAGAACGTCCATTGGTGCACAGCAGGGGATCGAACCTACAACCTAAGGGATGAGAGTCGCACGCTGTAGCCTAGGCTTACACTGCTCTTTATTTAAAATCTCTAATTTATAATAAACCTAGTATTAAAGAATATTATGTGAAACTTAAGCAAATATTAGTAATTTAAATGATTATACTTACTCTATAGCGCAGTTGAGTGCCTAGATAAGCTGGTACAAATATTTGTAGTATCATCACAAATGCATAAGGTGACATATAAAGTAGCATAGACATGAGCGTACCAAACGTTTTTGGCTGAAAAATTGTAAACCGTTATAAAGGCCTTGAGAGAGAACACTAATTACTAATAAAGCCATCAATGAACCCATTGGTTAAGTTTTCTGCTTTTTATGGAACGATTCTTATGCTACAAATTTGAATAATGAAATTTTCTACGGGAGGTCTCTAAGGTCAACCCCTGCAGAGTTATGATTTATTTTGGTTTTATATGAAAATTGACTTTTTTTTACTAATTCTTCTTAAAATTCGAAAATATCTACATCCTGTATCTTTCTCATAATATCCACTAGATTGGTACTGATGAGTTCTTGCGTTCGACATACTATTTATAGTTGTTTATTGAGTGTATTCAAGATAATATTAAGTGATACGATATAACATTTTTTCAAATCAAAACTTTTTGTTCACTTCAGACCCCTCTGAAAAAAAAATTACTCCACCGAAAAGTGTCCCTGTGACCTCATCTATCCCCTATTTGCGTTTGATCCACGACTTTTTGGCCACCCTGTATAGACAAAAATTATTGTTTGATTATTTCTTTTGTTTACTCCATGATTCTTAGTCTCTGTAAAGGACGCTTAACACCACGACATTTTATATTTATTAAAAATCAGTAATTTAGTTACATATGATACGCGTATTATAATTTAGAATTGTACATTTGTTGTATGTTATATCGTATAACCCTTGTATTTATTTTAAAAAAAAATTATTTATTACAAAAAATATTTACGAATACAAGGCTGCATAAGATTGCACAAATAGATCCCGAAGCCACGCTGAACTGAATAAACATAGTTACGCTAATGATACTCTGCACCTCTTTGGAGAATCTAAAAAAGACTTTTAATAAATACTTAAATTGTTGGAGAAATAAACATTTGAACATTAAAACCAATTTATAATTACATAATTCACAACTTTTGTATGAGATTTTGAATGTAGGTAGATCTCAAGTGATACACGTAGAAATAATATTACAAAAATAAAAATCGTACTTACTGCAATACCATATCGTAATGTCTCAAACACTTGTTCAATTGTACAAATTGTTCTTCCTCGACACTATTTGACTTTAAATTTCTTAGTTCATGGTCTACAATTCTTATTTGTGCTATTATTTTTAAAATCAGTCCTGCTATTAATGAATCTATATTTATATTGTACATCATATGTCCGTAAATTCCCCAAGCCTGATAAAACCATAGAATCGCAAAATACCGAGATATAGTCTTCTTGTCCAGGAAATAATAATTATAAAAAGGCAATTCAATTTTTCCGTAGACGATATAAGAAATTATATGTACGAAGATTTTTGCAAAAAATGCACTGTTTGACATGATCGCATTAAACTTCCAATATGTTTTATACTTAACGATGTATTTGGAGACTAACTGATGGCTTTCGTCCTCGCCTTTGAAGAATTTACAGTTGAGGATACGAAAAGCTCTCACTATAGTTTTTCGCTTGAGAAAAATCATTACCACCTTAGCAGCTGCAACTGTTTCCGAAAAACAGAATAGCACTTCACGAACCAATAATTCGATATTTCTAGGCGTATAGAACAGGTTTAGTATGATAAGCAAATAATATAATATCAATGATACCAATATATAAATGCCTGAGTAGTATTTATAGTATAGGCTGGAAGTTTTACCCGGCCATGGAACACCAAAAAATTTTAAGCATATAAAATTTATATTGAAAGTATCAGATATGCTAGCCATGTCTGCTAGCTGTTGTCTAATGATAAAGAAGTGTGGAGTTCTCCTTAACAATACCTTAGTTTAATTAAATAGTTAAGTTTTTTTAATAACGACACGTGTAATTATAAAATTAAACACTTTGATGATCCAATTATTATTCAGACAAATTATACCAAAGACTTTGTAATAAGTAGCTTTGTCCGTTGCCTAAGTGGTGGTCTACATAACATATCAAAAAATTATTTTACAATTAGATAATGAGAGAACAATGAATACTTTATTTAGTAAAACGCAGCAAGTGCAACAATATGCTTTAAAATAATATTTAACATAGGATTTTAATTTTTGACATGATTCAATGTATTAACACAATAGCATCATTAAGCGATGAAATTAATGAAACAAAGATTAAATTGTATTTAATTTGTCATGTATTATTTGTTGTAATATTTAATCAATAACAGATGTTCATTAAGGATTTTAACGTCACATAATTGTTGTGTTTTTTTTTAAATTTAGTACTAAATGCCTTCTTTAGGATAATAACGTAATTAAATACAACAAATATTGAAAAATATTTTTGAAGTTGTACTTCTTTAGGCGCGTTATGAAAAATTGATGAGAGTGAAATTTTACGATTGCGCGCGCACCTATGACACAAAATTGGCAGTGTGATATAGCGTGCGCGAGCGAGATGGGAATAAGACAAACTACAAGTAAAAGAAATAGAATATGCGTGAAGCTAACTTCACGCATATTCTAGCTTAGCAGCTTAACAAGAATTTTGAATGACCATGACAATTGACATCTGACAATGACATTTACCTTTTAAACAAATATAGGAGTTTTAATTATTGTTTAAAATTAATAATTATATACCTAGTTATTTTCATTATACAAAATATTTGTGAAATAATATAAAATATTTGTGAAAAAACTGTGCTAACCTTCCTGAGTGCTTCAATACAATTGAGGTTAACTATCCGTATGTATTATCGAGTATTATTGTTGATTAAAACTGAAACATGAACCATTATTCATTGCTTTTGTTTATTGCGTTTGTTACAGCAACTTTTTAGAAATATTCTACGACCCTATATATCAATAATTGAGAACAAAGATTTAAGCACGAATACTAATAAGGAGAAAATGAAGGCTTGGAGCGATATAACAGAGAAGTAAACATTTTAATAAGTACCTGCATCTCAAAAAAATGACCACATTATTTAATCAAAACATCAGATTTAATCTAGCAAATATAAGGACAAGAGACAAAAAACAATTGCTGAATCAGTGGAAGTGCACTAAATTGAATACAAAAAAAGAGTTGTCATCTTATCGCCGTGAAACATCAAAAACTGGAGGTGGAACAAAGCCACCATCACCTTCTCGAGACACAATGGTTTGAAGTAGATTTCAATGAATTTGATTGTGATGGTGTCGAGGTAGGAATGTTAATTATAAATATGATGTATGGTGATGTTCAAGGTTCAACCTTTCAAGCATAGGCATATGCTTACAACATTACTTTATTCCCCTACAGGGTAGTTAGAGATATTGTAATACCTCAAAACATCCATGTTGCACTTGTAGTACCGAAACTCTGTCCTGCCAGAAGTGAGCCCATTCCCACTTATAATGGACAGTGGGTATAATACACCTTAATACCTGAGTGCGAACCACTCACCATGATACTTAAATTAATAGATGTTATTTATATATTTCAGGTTATTACAAATAAAATCATTTTGGAAACAATTGATATCCCAAAAGCAAATAAAGCCAACAATGACAAGGTAATAAATCAGTTTTGACATAACTTGAATACTAAAAAAGCCAAACAAAGGTGTGCACAACAGTGACAACATAACTTAACAATTTCATTATTTTGTAGGATTAAAGGTTAAAGAAAATCATGTCGAACTGAACAACAAGAATCCCCAAACAACTCCAAAGAAACCTACAAGGAAGACACCGGTATTATATTTAAATTATCTCTATCTCTAAATAGAATAAAAGAAAGTTGCTATCCAGGTCTGTAGCATGTGCTACAAATTATATTATTAACACATTTATATAATTATATTAATATAAATGTGTTAAAAATTTATAATATGAATTATAAAAATTTTTAAGTTTTGCATGGACAGAGCTTAAATTAATATTCTCTTATTTGTTGCAGAAAGCAAGTAGTTTTGGAGAAGCCTCGTAGATGCACAACCAAGTAATGATTAATTTAAAATTACAAACCGAAATTCTGATGAAGACATTAGAGTCACTTAAAAATAAATAGTATAATGAAATAAAAATGTTTTAAAGATAAATAGTGTTTTATTTGTTTAATGTAAGAGAATAATAATAAATATTTATTTAATTAATTTTTCAAATGTAAACTGAACTTTATTGACTTTAATGACTCCTTTTCCAGTCTTTGATTATTTAATTGTAATTAATTATTTGCATGCAATCAAAAACTATTTTTAATAATGCCAAAGAAGTATAACTTCTTACGCGCGTACATAAGTACACGCACCCTTTTTTTTTTTTACTTGAACCTAATTAATTATAGAAAATAAATGTTGATAACTTCTAAAACTTATGTGTGTATTAAGAAGATATGCTGCAAGATAACATCGTCAACTATTTTTCGTGATTCTGAAAATTTCTCACTATCGTGAAAAATGAATATGCGCTTTTCATGATCTGAAAAAATTAATTGTTAATTATGCTATCGTCGTATACGTTTTCATATCAATTGGTAGTTTTAATAAGTTTTGTTAAAAATCAATAGCTTTTAGTATACCGAAGTAAACGTATCCAAGGTTAAAGGAAAAAGTCCACATCCGCTGAAGTGGATGGGAATGTTGGCCCGTAACATGAAAAGCTTAAGGCTTCGCTTAAAACTTTCTGATCTAGCTATCCACTCCGAGCAGTAAGCTGCGTTGACTAGCTTTTGACTCTAAAAGAAACATTTAAACAACAATAAATACAATTATATCATGTAGCACCAAAGATAATTTAACGATTAAATATATTTAAGATAAATGTGCCAGCGTCGTCCCTTTTCTCTTTCACTTGTTTTTCTTGTACGATCCCAAACATATGCTTAAGTCTTGGGATACTTCTACATCGGGATTTGGCATTTAATGGGTTGGTTTTTGCATATTAACTAAATCAATGAGTCACTATTTATTGAACGGTGAGCACAATTATACAGATAATAATTGAATTCTTCATTTACAGTGTTAAAATTTTTTTAAATTCTTTGTTTAAGACAGCTACCTAGTTATAGAGTACTAGATTTTAACAAACGAAATATTTAAATATCCTGTTTATAAAGTTTATTATTATTTATAAACATTGGGCACATATTTATTAAACCAGTCTGATTGCATCGTTTTAACTTTAGTACCTCATAGTCATCTATCTCTTTTCTTCATAGCGTAAAAATAGTTTTAAAGAAAAAGACAAAATATTACTTTAGGCAACAAAGTGCAAGGAGACTGATTTAGTTATTATTAATAAGGACTAAGGAGGTATATTATTTAATTTGCGGATACTTACTTTATAGCGGAGCTGTGTTCCAAGGTAAGAAGGAATAAAAATCTCTAGAATCACCACAAACGCATAAGTAGACATGAAAAGTAATAATGACATAAGTTCACCAAATGTTTTAGGCTGAAAAAAAATATCTAAATCTCGATCAAACTTCTCACGGTCTACCGCTTTATTATTTGTTCTATAAATTATTGTCCGCCTCAAATTGGTAACATTATCATAATATTACCGACAAATTCAAAACTTTGCCACTTCATAACTGCGAATTGTGGCATAATTCACATTTGGATTTGGAACAACAAAATGTAATACTAAGTTCATTCTTATTTAACATTTGAACGCTTGCTAGGTATGAAAACTACGATTATTACACAAATAATTATTAAGGAAATTAATATTGACTATACAAATATTTGTAAAAATAAATATACCAATAAAAAGCTGCATAATATTGCACAAATGGATCCTGAAGCCACAGTGAACTGAACAAACATAGTAACGCTTGTTATATCTTGAACCTCATTTGAATATCTGAAACGATTAATTAATTTTGGTATTATGTACACGTACTGGATACTATACTACATCACCGTTGCACATGTTACATAACTTGCAAGAATGTTATCCCATTATTGACGTATTTTTAGTTAAATTTGTAAAAAAGTAATGTGAATAATAAACCGTTATTTTGCCGATGGGTACAAAATAGTGGGACTGTTTTAATTTGTAAACTATTTAATGGAAACAATTGAATTGCGAATAAAATCATTACCATCATTAACTATTAATAATTAAATAAAAATCGAATAAAGGAAGGTTTCGCTATATTTATTTTTATAATAACCAGTGTTTTAAACCAAATATTTGAAAATTTTATATAAATAATAAAAATTTCATTTTTATTTTAATAAAGGAAAGAAGTCACATTTCAATAATGTCAAGGATTTCCTAAGCAAGAATTAATAACATAAATCAGGTCAATTTATTATACAATATTTAATTTAAAAAGCATATTACAATACTTACTGTAAGAGGATTTCGTAATGTCTCAAACATTTATTTAATTTTATAACTTGTACTTCTTCGCTACTATTATCAACTTTTAAACTCCTCAATTCATGGTCAAGGATGTCTACTTGGGCAACGACTATCAAAAATAGTCCTGCTATTAATGTATTTACATTCATATTATATAACATGTGTCCATAAATCCCGCAAGCCTGATATAGCCACAAAAATACAAAATACCGATCAATAGTCTCTTTTTGAAGAAAATAATAATTGTAAAATGGCAATTCCACATGACCATACAAACACAATCTGTACGAAGATTTTGCATAAATACGACATATGAGACAAAACCGCGACAAATTTCCAATAAGTTTTATACTTGGCGATATATTGACTTACAATTTTTCTGCTTCTATCGTCTTCGCCTTGGAAATGTTCACAGTCGAGAATATGAAAAGCTCTCACTAAAGGTTTTTGGTTAAGAAAAATCATGACAGCCTTCGAGACTGCCAATGTTTCGGCAAAACAGAATAATATTTCGCGAATCAATAATTCGATATTTCTGGGCGTATAGAACAGATTTAATATGAGAAGTACGTAATATACTATTAATGTTGTGAAAATGTAAAAGCCTGAATAGAATTTAAAGTATATATTACAGTTTTTGCCTGGCCATATCACACCAAAAATTCTGAGGCAGATAAAATTTATATTGAAACTTTCAGATATGGTAGCCATCGTTGTCACAAGTCTAATGATGAAAAATCGTGTTGACTGTCATTAGCAGCACCTCATTATCCTATTAAAACATTTTTCAGTATTAATTTTTACTTAATTTTCCCGGAGTTGTTACATGATTGTACAATTAAACACTTTCGTAGCCAATTATGTACTTTGAAAAATTACACCTAAGGTTTTGCAATAAGTGGCTTCGACCGTTTCCATCCTACATAAGTGGCCGTCTACGTAACATATTAAAGTTTTTCTGCCCCAAAACCTACTGAATGAGAGAACGAAGAATACTTTTTGTGAGAGAGAAAAAGTGGCGTAATTTATTTTCCCTTGGTGCAATATTTAGTGCTGTCCATTACTACAGTTCGCGACCGAACATTATTCACAAAGATCCATCTTTTTTCCACGGCCGCCACGTTTGCGGTAGTCCATATTAACTTTTTCATCTTGTATGGTTCTTTCCACTAATCTATTACTTGGTTCAATTGTTTTTGTGATAATTTAGTTCTGGTGGCTTTGTGGCGTGACTTTAGAATTATAGTACTTATTATTATTTGGTTAAGCAAATTACGAGGTACTTACACATACCTACTACTTGTTTTAATAAGATGTACATTTATTTCTTAAGAAATAAACACAAAATTCATATAATCAGCACGATTTAGGTCCGATCCCTACGTGTGTGCTCATTACAGTTCTTACATGACTCTTCGAAGAGTCTGGAACCTGTAATGCATGCGTGATAACTGATAATGAAGAGAGAGGTGATTGTCCCAAAATGAATAAAATCGACTGAAATCTCCCGACACGTCTCTCTTTGGAAAATCCTTATCATGAATACATAAATTAAATTAAATTTATAGAACCTGTTAAATCGTATCTTATCTGTATTACGTGGAAAATAAAGTCCTGTCTATAATAGTTTTATAAATCTTTGAGTTCCTAAGATTTTAATAAATTAATCCAGAGATACCTGACTTACCTGACTTATTCAATTCTAGTATATATATATAATAATAAGATATTCTAATATTTATATATATATAATATATATTTTCGGCTCACCACAGTGACATCTAGAGTTCAAACAAATAACAACGTCAGCTTAGCGTACTGACATTTATTTCATAAGTGCTACAAGATGTCGCTAACTGTACCAAAGAAATTAAATTTACCGATATAATTTGTCAACCTAACTGAAATTTCTCTGGCTTTAACATTTCAGTTATTATCGGTTCGTAGTTACGTAGTGCTCTACTAGATGTCGCTATTTCTAAATTAGCTTTTAGTGCTATTTTGTTCTATTTAGTGCATTTAAATTTTCTTTGTTGCATTATAATTTTATCCGTAAAGTTACTCACATACATTACCAACGGCGCTGCAACCTTTTATGGCCCTAAGGATATAAGCGTCGCTTAAAAATAATTATATATTGCGTGTTAGATTTTACTTTTAATTATGCAGTGCGTGTCGGTATCAGTCCCCAGGGCCCAGATCAGTTCTGTCAGTTTGTTGATTTTTTAGGCGTGTTGATGATCAGCCTGATTCGTGTCGTTGATTACTCAAACATAAATAACAATCTATTGGAAGCTTGGCTGATCAACCTAGCTTTATGGTCATAAGAAGTAATTATTATTATTATTTTTTAATGGCTTTTATTTGTGGAAGTAATTATTAAAATTGTTCTTATGGCTGTCATATTATTTTTTTATTATGGTTACTAAAAAAGAAGACTTGCTAGAACTACTGAGTTTTTGACAGCAAATACAGATATAATAAAATGAAATAAAATCAATTTTTAACACATTTTACATATTTATTGGTATTATTTACATATTTTAGTGACCACACTTATTGAGCTAGGCGTATAATACGAAATGTGCAAGATTTCCATGTAATTAAATTACATTAATAGTTACAATAACTAAGAGGTTTGGCAGGAATTTCCTAGAAAGATATAAGAAAATTTCGATTTAAATAAACAATCTACTTATAGGTAAAATTTGAAAATAGAAAGCAAGCTCAATAGATATAAAACATTTGGTTTTATTAGGATTGGCACATTATATTATCTATGCCTTTTACATAATCTCTGGTAAAATGGTAATGTAAACAAATTTTTTTTTCTTAAAACTATTTCACTTTAGTAACAGAATTGTGATATGAATTTGCTGCCGAAACATTTGTTTACATCACCAAACCATCAAATAATTATATACAATATATCTCTGTAGTAAACAATTCCTTGTAATAAATTAAATGATTATAAAAAATTTAAATAAGCTGTATAAAGCTGCACAAGATATAAAATTAGAACCATCTAAGTACATTCTATAAATTAAATACATTAAGATTCGAACCATCGATAAATTATATAAATATGCTTTTCGAATTTCACTACATATTAATGTATTGTAATGTCATGATGAATTGAGCGCAAATATTTTCTCTAATCAAACAAAATATCAAAAACATACCTGGGATTAAATAAGCCACAAAAATGTCATCAAATAATTTCCCAGAGGCGGTTAAAATTATCACATTTATAATAATGGATGACAATGAAACGCACAATTCATTAATACGCAATAAATTACTCTAATATAACGAATAGCAACCACTTTCCCAATTCCCTACGATAATTTTCCTCAGACAACTTTGTTCACGCACTATTCACTATTCACTGGTTGCACTATACAACGCGTCCGTTTTTTTCTTTTCACATCTAACGATATACTAAGATATTGGCTGCCAGTACGGACGCTATACGAACTCATTTGTGCCGGGAGAGTTGAGCGGTTCTTGGGCCTGGAAAGAATAAGACAAATAAGTACATATTCACATTTATTACTTGAGAAATAATAATAATGCGAGAACACTTTCTGGATCTCGGAATATCATTGCATATGTTTATTACGTACGTGATTAGTGCACTTTTGCTGTACCAGAAAATTGCGCACAAGAACAAAGAATCTATTGATGCGCAGCCAAGTTCGAACCTTAGACATAAGTTGAGAGCCGCATGCTTAACCAGTAGCCAACATTGATTTGAATATTTGGGTATTTAGAGGCACTATCGAAGAAGCCACAGGCAACACACTCATAAATGTAAAATACACAATACTAGGCGTAATTGCAGATAGATAGATAGACAGGTACTATTTATAAACAAATTAGTATAGTATCATTTGAAAAAAAATATGTCATGTAAATGGTTATAAGGTAAACATTTTGTTACTATATCTACAGCTTATAATAAATACTGTTAATATGTCAACATTTGATCTCCACTAAGCGAAAAAGATATTAAAATTATATTCTACAGCGACTAAACTTACCAGTCTTAGGCCTCGCAATGAAACGCGTGAAAAATAAATTTGGCAGTTACATCTACAGATAGGCAGTTAAAAAACAATTAGCCTATCACATAGCTATTTACAACTACATTTGGCAACTATATTTTAATACTGATGCGGTAAAAATGTTGGCACAACACCTCGCCCTTATACTAAGTTTTTTCTATAGATTTCTTAAATTGTTCTAATACTAAATACACAAACTTTAAAATGTCCTTAATATTTACAAAGATTTCATTAGGGGTTTTTCTCATCGTACAATACCAAAGACCACGTGCCACAAGCTTATCTGACCGCCATTGAATCGGCCAAAATAATAGTCAGAAAAGTTGTCAACACTACAGTAAAATAATAGAAACTTTATTGCCGTCCTAAATTTCGACTATAAAGAGGAAGTAAAAATTTAGGAGACGGGTGTTATTAAAAAAATCTAATATGGCTTATGGTTTATCTTAAGCTATTTTGTATGTTGAGTGTGCACTCCATAGCAGTGAGAGCTCTTACCTCTTCGCCCACCGTACTCGGGTATAGTTTGCTGCCGGGGGCATATCCATTCTGCTCTAGTGCGAATTGATTCTCAGTTGTCTTACGATATACAGGATTATCGAAGTTCATGGAAGTCACGTTGCGATGAACGTAATGCCTATACATTACAACAGCGATCTGGAAAACAGATAAAAGATGAAGTTAATATTTTGTTAGTTATATAAACAAACCTTAAATAAAAACTCATCGAATTGCCTTCATTTTTGGTCAAAAAAAGAATAAAATGTTCTTTTAATTATATTGTGCTTTGATTGCTTTTTTACAATATAATATCTAATTTATCATATAGCATTAATCACGAATGATTTTAGACTTTAAGTGAGTTTTATTCATATTAGATATATTTACTATTCGTATTGAACAAGGTGATATTAATACTGATATTTTTTTATCAGTTAAAAAATTATCTTATAATAAAAACTATAAAGATATTTAAATGAGTAATAATTTTAATGCGCAATATACGAGTACACACGAAGTGTATAAAATTAAAAAAAATGATAAGAATGTAATTAAATCAAGTGAAATTACTTTAATAATTTAAGTTGAAATTATTATAATTAAGGAAGTGTTGATAGCACAAAAAATTGTATAGTAAACAAATCATTATAAATACATTTGAAGTATAATGATTGATTGTTGATAATTAATCAAGACGACGGAATTAGAACTGTCATATTATATCAAAGAACACATTAATTAATCATTTTTAGTCTACTGTTGATATGGAAACTTTTTAAATTAGGTCATATTTAATGTTTTTTTATCGGACAGTAGGCTACTACCAGATGTATGTTTTATTATATCTGGGTAAATATTTATAAAATCGGTTTTATTAAATAATTTAAAATATCAATTATTTAATGAAAGCAAACATTGGATTTTGTACAAGTATTAAAAATTTGTCTCCAAAATCTTACCAAGCAAAAATTTTGAAACGCAAATCGTTTGCCGTTTATCATTATTTAAAAAAATATTTCTTACCACCGGCAACTAGATATAAACGGGTAAGATACAATTTAAATTTGAGAGCAAACACAAATTACAAGCAATTATTCATCTATTGTTTGGTAATGACCTCAATAGGTACGTTATTACGTGTACGTTCAAGGATGAACGAATTTGGAATATAAAAACGTCAAAGATCTCGAACTTTCTGTGAAAGTACTTACAGCTTTGAAATAATACCTCATTTCAAACACTTTAATGTACAATTAACATGTTATATCAGATAAGTGTAAGGATTAATAAATTTGGAAGGTATTATAAGTAAAAAGGATTGCCAGAGGAAGACGGAGAAATATATTTGACAAGAAAAGCCGTGCAAAAACAGAACATTTACGCGATCGTAAATCTCTTGCTTACATTTAAGCTAGACGACTCGTCATTGTATAATAATAAAATTGTATTAAAAAAAAGATATACTGAATTAAAATTGTAAAAAATATTGGTTGCCAACCTCGAATGGCAAGTATATGCCTAGTGACAACTTTCGCAACGCTATTTTTGTAACGTTACAGTCTAGAGCCGGCATTCGACCAATCATCTTTTATCATCTATATAACTTCAGCTTACTAATAAATTATATAAGCCAAACACAGGACAGGGACAGCCAAACATTTTTTATGAAATGCCAGGAATTAAATATAAGAATTCCGAAATAAAAATAGTCAAATTAATTGATGCTTTTGGGTTTAATTAACTTGCAAATTTCATTGTCTCTTAATATTCGTATTTAAATGTCAATGTCACATGCTGCAATAACTGAATATTTATTAAAAATATTGATGGCACTTACCAAAGCAGCAATAATGATGATTCCAGTAATAACAGCAACTACAATGCCAGCAACCACGCCAGCATCGCGGCCGCTTGTTGAGATTCCACTACCAGACTTAGGAGTTTCTGGTACACCTGGAAAACAAAAACAAAACATTGGTAAACAAAAACATTAAACCTTCTTGATCTCAATAAAAATACATAATCTCACTCATAAAACGAGTTACATTTTATTTTTCAACTTAAATGTTAACGTAAAAACAACTATGGAAAAAAATATAATTTAAAAAATTGTAATGAGATCAAGATAGGTAAAATACAATTAAAAAATAAACCTTCACCACACATGGTTAATGATATTGGAAACAAATAATAAAGTAAGTAAATAATTAGAAAGCAAGAAAAAACTAATAAAAAAGTAGGTATGTTACATAGGTGATAAAAACCATTTGATGTGCAAATGTTCTTCAAATACTTAAATTTAAATTACAAATAACTAAACAGCTTATAATGAACTGTAGTTCTATTTGCATCCATTGTCAATAATTGTTGCCAAGTTCTATGAGATTAACCAAAATATCTTCTAATTGTCACACTAAAATATACCTTAAAACTATTAGTGTACAATCTATTTAGCTTTAATAATCTGAAACAGGAAGATCAGTAGATAGTTCCCTGCAAAAATTTACCCTATACAATAGAATCTGATTACACATTGTTGACCACTTCCTCTGTATTGTCAAACCAAGATAATAACTTAATCAACAGCTAAACATTTTTATTTTATTGTAATAGCTATATTTTGTAATTAAGAACAATGACATCCCTAATGGAAAGAATTCCCAAGAAGCCATGTGAATGGAAAAGTTAATCACAATGTATTCACATAAAGCAAAGTTTCCACACATGCACCCAGTATATAAATCTGTGTGTCTTCTATATTTAACATTTGAATTTAAAAATATTAATACATTACCCTGAGAATTAAAGTTTTTCAAGGCCTCTGGTAAATAAACTAGACTTAATGTTTCATAACTATAACGAGATTCTTTGACTGGTTTCTCTGTGGCATCAGGTATCCTGTCTAAGGACACGTCTTTTAGGAACAAGTCTATAAATCTTTGGTCTTTTTTATTGTAGTCAGCCTTATCACTTTCCCAGTATGCCTTCATTGGCTCTGCTTCAATAGTTTCAGGTGATAAAGTGACTTCTTCAGGTGGCTCTGTGCTTTCCTCAGAATCCACAATTGCTCGCCCCAACTTCAAGAGAAGGTTAAGCCCTTCCCTTTTTATATTCACCATATGTGATGAAATATTCCAGGTGTTATCTCACTTTGAAACACTATTCATCAGTTTGTATACAAGATGCTTTGCATGCCCTGAAAATCAGTCAAGCAACCCACATTGAAGACACACAGATAATATTCAAAATTGCTAACATTCACTATGGACAGCGTTAGTAAACAATGAATGGATACTGTAACAGAATCGCCTTATACCCAAATTTATAATATACTATCTTATCTGTTATGATTTTCGATTTCACCAATTACTAACCGAGGCATTCCAAGGACCAAACTTGAAGCACATAGTCAAATTTAATTCGCGAACGCGTCGACGACGAGAAATTGCATAACTTTATAGGTATGCATTATTCGCTTAAAGGCAGTGCTTCGAGTTTAATCGTTAACCCGATCAAGTAGAGTAGTAATTAAAGGACGTCGATTGAAGAACTTCAAGGGGTTGATAAATACTCACTGGTAACAGGATTTTCCTCTAAAATCTTTTCAAAACCACTAGACGAATTTTGCACCTCCACATCGGGTTTTATTGCATCTGTAGATTTTATCACATAAAAACCTCATGAAACGCTTAATTTGGGTAATTGATTAAGTTATCAATAATACTGGTTTGAAATATTAAAAGTAAATTATCACAGTTTGTTATTCACTACCGGCATTTAATACAAGGTGAAGCCGCGTTTACACGACACATCCAAGTAATAGCCTGAGCTAAAATGAAATGAAAATTGAAATTAGAAATGTCAGAAACACGAGTGAGATCGCACTTTAATTTGAACGTGATGGAACGAGATGGAACTATTCAGAGCCGCTGCGGGATACTAAACGTATGTATGACGTAGCGCCACGCTGCATGCCGTTTACTGTCATTAATAAAACTATGCCGAACTCGATCCAGCTTCCACGCAACCTATTGTTTCAATTTATTCCTTTTCCGGTGAGATGTTTAATATTAAGAAAAAAATATTACTTTGGTTTACATTAATTTATTACATATTATTTACATATATTAGTAACATTATTATTAAATACGACTTATGTCTTTATATATAATTGTTGAAGCTTTTTACGACTATAATAAATTCAATCTAAGACTTCCGAATTTGCAATAACACATGACGTCGACTGCACGTAAAAATATGTGCAAGTGTGCCGAGTCGGATCGCGCAAGGATTGGTTAACCGAAAGGTGGCGTGATCTGACGTGACGTCACCTAACCATCACCTTACTCAAAATAAACGTTCCCTATTGGTCGAATTTGGCCGAGTCGTATGCCTGTGACTGACTTGTAAAAATTTGTCTACTATAACTACTTACAAGAAAATTAATGTAATCCCCACAAGATAAATATAAATTAAGTTAACATTTATTTGGATACGAAATAAAATAATAATTGAGTTTAATAACTTTCCTAATTCACATAAGCCTCAAGTTGGAGTTTTGGCAAAAACTAGTAAGTATAATTTAAGAAAATAGTTACCGTCGTAAAGTTACTTTATACATTTGTTCGTAAATATCACTTCAAAATATACAAATATGTTTTCTTGTAGCTTCCTCAATTTAAATAACTATAATTATATAAGGTTTTCAACGGAACAATGAGTAATCAAGAGTTATTTACAATTGTATTAGTAGTAATTTGATAAGAGCCGATTATGTGGGAACTTACAGATTGTAAGCATACCTACGTATAGTATCTTATATGCCTACTGTTCATTGATAATGTGATTTTCCGTAAATGACATACGAGACCATCGTACGATCGGCGTCATGTGTCGTGGTGGATTACGTGTCGCCAGAAAAATTAATAAACATGTTTTTGTATTTTAAAGATTGCGTCATTTTTTATTCAATACGTACTAGACACCGTACGTATAGAGAGTACATTTTATTTTCGTTATATTTGTTTATGTTCCTCAAATAGATTCAGAGTCAATAAAAAGTGAAAACGTATTTATGAACATTTGTATAAAAGACACGCATTTTTTGACCTACTATAATAAATAAATAAAATAAAAAAATGTATAGTTACTTTTATAATGAAATAAAAATTTAATCGCAATTAACTCGCAATATTATTATATTAACATCCTTAATAATCACTATGAGCAAAACAACTATGGATCTTTAAAATTGCCCAATGAAATCGCCCACAAATTTGTCACGCTTTGAGTTGCGCATGAGTAACCACGGATTGAATTTTACAAGACCATCAGAGTATGCAAATGTAATGACGCAAGCCTTAGAACTAAATATTTTTGTCCGTGAAGTATTACTCATAGGCTGTTTCCATCTATGACCTATAATTTTCATGAGTGTGTTTGGGCCAGATACAGCGGCGCTGATGGGTAACATTACCAAGCTTCAGAAGAACTAAAACCTCATCTTGGATTTTTTATAAAATTGCATCGCATCACGAAATATATAAATATCGATGGAAGACTAAAGGCACCAAAAACGTGCCTTAGCGTGAGGAGACAATTAATTCTTAATATTTCCTACGTGAGTTTGCGCAAAGGCCCATCTAAACTCATTTTTTTTCGAAATATAATATTTCGATGACTTCTCTCTGTATATCGCTCCATATTTGCTCATGCATACTCTCGAAAGAAAAATCTCCAATCTCTAATCAAATTGGTAGCTCATTACTGAATATTGTTTCTGAGCACTATGTATCCAATTATTATAGCTGTCTTGATAGAAGAAGAAGGAGCTTCCATAAAGAAACCAGTGACGCTACGTTTTTGGTCTAAAGCCTGTTTCCTCACCGATTTACTTCACGATACGAGCGACTGTTTAGTGCGCAAAAGAAAAATCCATTGGTGCTAAGCCGTGGTTCTAACGCACGACCATAGGTTAGGGCGCATGCACATTCACAAGGCCAACACAAAAGATTCCATATTTTCAATTCGAATATCCCTGAGATAAAATTTCATAAACAGATATAGTATACAGTATTGCTAATTTAAATTCCACAAACGCATATGTCACACAGATCTCCTTAAGTGGTTTCCTTTCCTTTATATGTCAATCCACATTTTGCGCAGCATGGGTGGTAGGAATATTTATATAATTTAATGTTTACCGACGTTCTAATTAACTCCATTTAGATTACTCATACAAAGAATACATGGAAAAACACAAAAGCTATAAATTACAACAGTTACACGTTATAATTGTTGAAAGTATTTGTCTATAAAAAAAAAATATATCGTAGTAAATATCACTATTTCGTCTCATGACCTTTCGTTTCACCGATCGTTTACAATGTTCTTAATCTACATACCTAGTAATAATAATTAAAAAATTATGAATAGATAACTAAAATAAATTTAAAAGTTGGGTCCATGTGGCAGTGTACCTTTAATGCTGGCAGTTTTACCTCGCCGTATTGCGGCATTTATTTTTCTTCTTTAATTATCAGTAGTTATTTCTTTATTCATTCAAGGTAACGTAAAAAACACATTCTAAATTCAAACCGTTCGTTTTGTACTTGTTAACACCCGATTCCTACAATTAAAATATGTATACTTTCTACGTCTGTATCTAGTGGTTATACGTATTAAAAATGTCCGATATCTTCCTCTTTCTTTAGTGTAGTATTTTATATGTAACAAAAAGCTTATACATGTCGACGAATATTAAAACTAGGTTTTTTATACTGGCGAGACAAGCAATTGGCCACAATGACCAGATAATTAAATAATTACGCACACGCTCGTCGCCTACGTTCGACTTTCAATTGGTTTTCAACCAATCACTTAAAGCATGCCATTGACGAATTATTAATGCCCTTTTTATTAACCACATTCAATTGATCATTCCTGTTAGTGTATCAACGACCTAAAGAACATTCCCGAAGATATGCAACCGCCATTTGATCTCTGGCTCGAGCTCTATAGTGGAAAAACATTTAGGATTTGTAATCAACTGAAACCAAAACCATATTGTTTTATTTATTGAAGTCTCTCGTTACCCACACTTGCTTTCACACTGAGACAGCTTACATGAGTTTAGCAACCTTAACACAGATTTTGATGCAATATTGGGTTTCTGTCTCTGTATGTTATGGTTTGTTGCGCCCATGTCAGCCCACTATTGAAATCGCTATTGAATTTACATGGTAAGCTTGATGGCTCTGTAGGTTTGTTTTCGAAAAAGGTAACAATATACTCGGCCACAAGATGTGGTTGTGGTTGAACTGATAAAATAATATGGTTTCTTAGTAGTATCATGATTTCAAGAAATCAAACATTCGATATACGACATTTTTGTAGTTTGTTTATTGTTTCCTTTTCTTGGAACAGAAATTCAAAAGTTAATTGTAGATTGTAGCAGTTTGAAGTTATACTTCTATTGGCGCGTTAGGGAAAAATTATGAGAGTAAATTTTTACAATGCGCGCGCACATCGTCACAAAAAACCGACAACCTAAATATCTGTTCAAACGTCGGTAAAACAGTCTGGTACGCTAGTTGGCACTTGCTCTGTTTTATCGACAAGTTGCATTGTCTGTTATGGCGTAGTGTTTTTCAGAGTCGTCTTTATTTAAACCAAAATAATGATTTCTATACGAGAAAACCCGTTCCAATGTGATAAAAAACATAGGGTTTATTGTAAAATATCATGATTAGTACATAATATTATATCGTTTCGATTGGAAGTGATCATTAAAATGGACAAGAAAAGTGTTCGAAGAAAATTATTACGCCAAAGAAGTATAACTTCTAATGCGTGTACATAAGTACACACACGTTTTCTTTTATTTCTTTCAACAACCAACTAAAAGCTTAATTTCGTTATTTTCAGGCAACACAATCGATGAAGCGTAAAGTTGCAACATATTTAGAGTAAAAAAAAAAATTCGCGATATACGCAAGAAACGGAATACTTACTGTCTTCAACACACATTTGATTGTCCGGTAGCAGACGCAGTCCTGTGGGACAGGCGCAGGAGACCTTCGGGGAGTTAGGTCCTATCCGGGGCGCGGGGAGGCACAGATGAGAGCAATGTCCGTTGACGGCCGCACAGTGGTTGACTCCATCCGGTTGCCGGTACGGATGGTACACATGGATAACCATTGGGTTTTGGAGCTGTTAAAATGAATTAAGAAATTTTCATTTACTTATCTCATGATAATCAGCCGACAATAATATTTTGATCATACAGAGGCAATTAAAAAAATATATTAATTAAGAAAATATTTAAATAGTTAATGCTAGACAGATTTATGACTGTGCGTAGTCCATAAAACCTATTTTATTCAAATTAAATATTCGTTATAGGTATTCTTCCAAAACAAATTCTCTGACGTGAGGGCTTAATTTTACGTCTCGATTCTTGTTCATTTCAATGAAGACGGAAGTTAATATTTGACGTATAAGGTAATTGGGAGGGTGTCATACATTCCAATCTCATCGGAATACAAAGGGATATTCCAGTATTAAGAATATTATACGATATGTCACGTGTCTCTAAAATCATTATGACTATAGTAAATGATAACAAGTGAAAGTTATGAAGATATGTTGAATCCGTTCGATCTTTAACCTTAATGTTAATTGAATGTTTATTAAAATTGATAACCTTTTATGCACAATAAATGTGCGAGAAAACACTTCAAGTATCAATCTTAATAATATAATTAAAATGTAATATTTTATTAACCAAACATATTTTATTTTTACTGTTTGTTAATTAGGAAATTAAATTAAACAAGCAATACTTCGTTTTGAATATAAATATTAAGCATAGAAAATTACGTAAATACTAAAAATATAATAATAAACTAGAAATATAAAAGTATAATAAAGGAAGGCATGATGTAAATAGGCGGTCAGTGTCACTACTAAAATCAATTTAAAAGAACTAAAAATATAAATTTAAAGAGATACCTACCTACTTATTCAAATAATAATAATAACTAACCAATGAATTTCGTATTTAAATAAACATAAAAATTAACGGCCATGGCAAATTTACCTTGTAATTTGTGCTCAGTTGTAAACGAAATTAAAATGATTGTTATTTGAAATATTATTGCAAATAATATTCTATTATAAATTTAAATCTTTTACACCTGTAAATTATTTTTCGTACAAGTTTTATTACCCATATGTATAAATTAAAATGAATCGGTGATATATTGCTAAGCTCAAACCTTGAAGGCGGCTGGACCAATTTGAGTAATTTTTATTTATTCCCTGAACTCTGAAGTTTTGAGGAGAGGAAAATTTAAAGATATAAAAAAATGAAAATTTTAGTTTAACTTAGTAGTTAGGTTTTTCTTCGGTAAAAGCTAACATTCTCTATGAAACATGTAGAAAAATGTTGGTATGTAGCTAGTATCATACTAAGTCGAAACGAAGTTCGCGAGGATAGTTAAAATATAAATGCTAGAACCTACAGCATAGTTTTAATACGACCATTTTTTATAACAACATACCAATTCAAGTAGGAAGATTTTCTTAATATAATATTATTTGAATCTAATATTCATTCTAATTTCAAAATAATCTTTATGACACAAAGGCGTTAAAGACATGTATTTATTTTAAACAATAAAAAACACCTTCCCGCATCTTATCATAGAATATTTAATAAATACCCACCGTGTGGGTCGATGTAACAGCTTCAATATCCTTTCCATTGAACTTGTTCGCCCGGTACACTGCTGTCTTGTCCCAGTCGGTCCAATAAACCCAGTCCTCAAAGGTTGTGATGGAGAACGGGTGACGCAGAACATCGGTCGAGTATAAGATAACTCTACGGGCGGAGCCGTCGTAGTTGCAAGATGATATTGTATTCAGTTTTGCGTCAACCTAAAAAATATGTTTTTACAGTCTTCATCACAGTAAACTCAAAAAAAAAACTCCTGAAACTTCTATCTAACAGTGTATTTTATTTGATTTGCATTGGATTATAATTATCAAAACTTTTTCAGATAAGAACCCTATATTATTCTAATTCTAAAAAATTATAATTAACCGTAAACAGGAAGTAATTAAAATTGATAACTTTATTCAGGCTACTAATGGTAGTTTTTCTTTCTAGATAATAATGATATTAAATATTTTGTTTGAAAATAATGACGTCAATACGTGATTGAAACTTCGGACAGGTGAGCAGAAAGTTAGTAAGAGTGATTTCTGAATCTGAATATTACCCTCATACACTACAGTACTATAATATGTAGTAACTTTTCTAAATTTATTATTTATTTATTAATACTTTGTTGCAATAACATATTATAATAATAAATAATTTAATAGTTATGTCGCCAATAAAGCGGAGTTGTTAAGTAATTTTAATCTAGGTACATCAATGGGGATATAAACGGAATACGTTATAAAAACTTAAGTTAATTTTTATTATAATCTGTTAATAAAGTTGAAAATAATGCAATTATGATTTATGTTATAAATAGCTTATTAAAAACTACCAAATGTAAGACAAATTTGTACGCCATTATGACTGGTAGACGCGAGGAAAATCTATATGTAACATCAACACTATATTCTTGCAAATACATAAATATAATTAATTTAATGTGTAGTACACGTGAAAACCTTTATGGAACTATTTGTTTGAGCTGTTTTAATTACAGTCTCTCTTTCTGTCAAATTGTTTGTACGCTGTGATGAAAAGAGTACGCACGAAATTTGACTTACCCAATAAACTCGTTTGCGAACCAAGTCGAGTGTCAATCCATTCGGCCATTTCACGTCATACGATACTATCGTTTGCCTATGAGATCCGTCCATACCAGCTCGCTCGATTTTTGGTGTTTGGCCCCAGTCGGTCCAGTACATCCATCTGTAATAAATTATATTTAGTGGCAATTTAAATGACTAAGATCGACAATGGTAATAAACATGTAGCGTCATAATTAGCAAGAACCTGTGTACCATCATTGTTATTTCGGTCGTAGTATGCTCTAATATGCTAGTTAAGTTTTAGTAAAAATAAAATTCATATTTCGAAATGTCTGTATGAAGTTGTACTCAGAGTCGTATATTAAATTGTCGCTTATTGTCTAAATATCTTACTGCAGTGGAAATTTAATGATAGATAAGTTAGTTAAAAAAACTTATTTTAGTTTTAGTTAGTTTCAAGAGCTGTTAAACCAATTTTTTCATATAAAATATATGGCTCAAGACGAAATTGTGACTTTATATACAAATTACAAAATGCACCTTAAAGCAGAATACCTTTATGGATTTATGGTAAAATTATTTCAATCTTAATGGTCGTCTTTGCACCGATGTAAATAAAAAAATTAAAAATTATTTTAAAGTATTTTTATTCAAACGACAAAGTTCTAGTTATTTTATTTAAACAGGTGATAATTATCAATATCTTTTATACAGGTATTTGCGTAATTTATTGCATATTATCATTTTATTTATGATCGCAATCACGCAAATCCCTTATCGTACAAAAACATGATTATCATAATAGTAATAATTCAGAATAATGGTTCTCATTTGGTGGTTTTGACCTTTGCTACGTAAATTCCTTTATAGTAGTTCATTGTCATGATTTAACTTGCATAAAATATTAGCGATTTTTCAAGGCTCCGGCTATAATTGTGGCTTTTAATAAAAAAATCGGTTGTCTGTAAAGTCGGTTTACTGACGATAGTTGAACGTGACAACGTCATAAGAAAATACTGATGGAATGCATTTTTCAAAAGATAAAAAACGAACGAACGCTGCCGAACACGGAGGCCGATTGTGCCTCTTTATCGCTCGTTCTGCGCTCTCGCTTGCATGTCAAGCTCTAAATGGAACGCCTCAGAGCGAGGTAACGCTGCATGCGTCATGTTTTTTCATGCGTGCAGCCGGCTCCATCGAATTATTTGACGTCCGATAACGCAAAATGCAGGTATTAATCCGAACAACTCTAAACACTCTATGGTAAAATTTTTTCCGTGGGTAAATACGTTACGCATACCCTCCCGCGGCACGGTTGCCTCATAGTGAAGGGTTATGTGGGACTCGCTGCTGTGCATATCCACTAAAACCCTACGGCTCCACCAGCAATCGCCCGAGGCAGGAGACGGTAACAGCGTAGCCTTGTCCGCATCCTGCCACGCGATCAGTCGTTGAAATCACGGTCCTCTAAGGCCACGAATGATGTGCAGGCATAACAAGGGTCATTCACATTAGCCAATTCACCGTGTTTTAAAAAGCAAAGTCAAAGTCAAAAATCATTTATTCACATAGATAACACAATGACAAAGACTTATGAACGTCAAAAAAGAAATATATGTATATGAAATGCTTCTAATTTTACATTTACGGCCAGTTCTCAAATCAAGGGCGTAGAACGGAAGAGATGAACCGGCAATAAACTCTCCGCCACTCTTTTTAATCGCCAAGTTTTTTGTTTTACACAATGTTTGTAAGGAGCTGAAACCATTACACCATGTGCCACATGACATCTTAAGTAATAAATAATAATAAAATAAATAAAAAACAGGAGGCATGGTGAAATAGGATCACGCACTTATATTCTCGTGGGAACAACACGCAAATACATTTCGACTATGTAACTAACATCACCGCATACACGCATTCAAGCTGGGGGAGGTTGGGTAAAATGCTTGCAGGGATGCGTCCCTTTTTACTCCACGGTACATGCGGTAGCTGCCGCCATCTTTTTCAATTTAGGTCACTAAGTATTAGGACACTATTCATTTAACATCTCTCATAATTTAATCAGAAAAACTTTTTAATAATATTATTAAGTTTAAATTGCAGCATATAAAGCAATTAATTGTGATAATTTCCAGCTTGACGTCTGTGTCTGACGTCAGTGCCCTAGTTTTTGTTAGTGAGTTTTAATTACAATTGAGATAACAGTTATCTTTTAATTATCAAGATAACGTCACTATTATTTTAAATAATAAGCATATTAGAGTTATAATGTTATCTTGAAGGATAAATAATTTCTTCAGCATTTAGATTTTTAATAGTTATTTTATAATATATATTGTCATTATTATAACTATATAGGTTAAGAGCGAATATAATCATAATTATTAATAATAATATAGTGGCGCTACAACCCTATATAATATATAAGGATCTTGGCCTCAGATTGAATCCGTTAATTTCATAAATTTATTTTTTTAGACATGTAGGGGATCAACTCTCTGCTTGACACATGTAGATTTTTGGATTTGAGATATGCCGGTTTCCTCACGACGTCTTTCTTTAACGTACGAGAGAGTGTTATATGCTTTCATAGACAGAAAGTCCATTGGTGAAGATCAAACCCTAGGGGCTTGCTCATGAATATCGCACGCAAAAGCTTTAAAATGTTGTAATATATTTGTCATTTTTTTGATCGTAATTACATGAATAATTTAAAAATTTTCTACTATATTATATCCTTATATGTTACTGTGTTATGTCTTGTAGTTATATAGTGATATTGATATGGCAAAAAAGGTTTTATATTGCTTTTAAGATTTTTCTATTTAATTTTAAGACGTTTTAATCTGTGCGAGTAAATTTCCGTAATATGTATAAATTCGGCACATGTTATATGCATTCGCACTCTTGAAAAATGCAAGCGAAAATAGATATTAGATTTATTTTTATATAACTAAGACATGAAGTGAAATATTATTCGAATTGAAATTAAATACGACTCGTGGCTAACATTGAATCAGTAGCTGAGTAATTGCTTTTTTAAACCGTTTATTAGTTCAATGCCTTTTGTATTAAAATATTTGGGCACTCAATGACAGAAGTTTTCATTATGAAAACTACTGGCTTGTACTAGTAGTTTAACATTAAAAATAAATCAAAATCATGTCAAATGACATTAACCGTATTACGCCAAAATTTTTTTAGTCGACAATATCTTTTAGAACTATTACTAGATAGTAATATAATTCATGGCAATAAATACATCCCGTGCAATCACTCCTATAGAACACAGCTCTTCCGTACAAAATGTCTTAACTAAACTTTTCGATTGAAATTTATTGATAAAATATAAATTTTGCTGCATGCTCAAAATTTGCAATTCGATTAAATTTTTTTGAATTGATTTGCATTTTTTTTTGAATTTGCTCAAATTACTCAATTTTTTCTTGCAAATCTTCAAATCAGGTTGATCCAAAGTCTTAGTTTATGTGGCAAAATTACTCATGTAATTTATATAGTAACTAAAAGTGAAACCTCGTAACTCCATACTAATGTTATATAGTATCTTTCTATTTTACGCTTTGTGCCTTACACAGTGAAGTAACTTTTTATTAAGAGGCCTTATATATTCACGGCTTCGTTTTTAAGCCTGATACGAAAATTGCATAGACCTTAATATAAATTTGAAAATGGAAAACGTTAAATCAAAACAGCGCATCGTCTCGCTTAATTATGAATGGCGCAGATTATTGTTTCGTTATTTTTGATGTGATTGGTGTGATACTACAGTCAAGCATCACGTTCAATTATTTCGTATTTCCATACATTTCACTTAAGAAACCGATTACTTAAGATGTTCTAAAAAAGCAGTGGAAAAATTACCCATCAAGCGGATTGAGAGCAATTGCCCTGGGTTCCTCCAGACTGTCCCTGATCAGTATCTTCCTCATGTTACCCTGCAAGTCCGATAGCTCAATGTGATTCTTCCCGGTGTCAGTCCAATACAAATGGTTGTATATCCAGTCAACGGCTAGACCATCTGACGTTATCAGCTGGTCCCCAATCACAACTGTGCGTTGGCTGCCTTCGTCGATTGGCGCTCTGTAATATACATATTATATTTCAATTAAACATGCAATTTATAGATAGTAAAGTAAACACTTTCTGATTTGGCTAAATAAACGCTTTCGGACATTTTGTGAACTCAAACGCACTACGAATCGAGGTCACTCCTCTAAACGGAAGACAACTAATTTACCAAAGGGTTCACTGAGTGAAGTGAATTTGGTAATGAATTCGATAATCAATATTGGATGTGACCACACCGAAAATTTCTTGTCTTTTCGTTTACAAATACGGCAACTAGATGGTATAGTACTTTAAAACTGATTCAGTACCAAATATTATTTTGAATTATTTCATACAGCATAAGTTTAGTTTTAAAATAACGTTCAAGGTATATATACCTACCCAAAACAAACATTTAACTTAGTTTTATATATATATGTAAGGAAAACATAATATTTTTTCCTATACAAACTCTTTTTATATTTTATTTTTCTTCTTTGCCGTCTGATCGACGATGTTTAATTTGTCACTTGACATAATAGATGTAAGATGTTTTATTTTTTTCATTACATTATTTTATTTTATAAAACCTAGAATATAGGCTTTAAATGTTGTTTCTTTTATATTCACAGAGAAACGCAGTTGCGCCTTATTTATTCCCAGTACTTGTATAAGCGATTGATACCATTATATAGTATATATTTTTTTTGTTTAATAGCCAAGTTGTTTTTAATTGTTTCAAAAACGCATGTATATTAAAAAACTAAAATATTTTATCATATCTATGTACTTTTTGGGCTTCACTTACGAAAATATGATAATAATAAGAAATTATACATATCTTGTTCGTTAATGGTGCATTTACAATTCTGATTATTTTGCACATATGATTGATTTACGATTACTCTCATTCATGTTTTCTTAGTTACATAAACGCGACTATTACCCAAGAATTAAGCTGTGATGAGTTACGCCCCTAGTATAGTCCGCATTTCCTTACAAAAAAACATTTAGTATTTCAGCATGGCAATAAATAATAATCTGTGGAACGTGAATTAATTAATACAGACTTCATTTCATAGTCTGTGCAATTTAACGCAACCTGTACCCATGTCTTAAAAACTTACTTATAAATCTTTTCATCCGTGACATCGCTCCAAAATATCATGCCAGTTCTGAACACGTAATCGAGGGCTGTAGCCGACTTAGTGTCATTCACAATCGCGACCATCTCATGGTGATCCAAACTGATTTTCCTGATGTCAAAACGCCGAGCGAAGAGCAGCGATGGGTGTCCCTCAGTAGCCTTGCACCTGGTCCTGTCTCTGGGATCCCTTGCGTAGCCGGCGTGGCATTCGCACTTGAATGTACCCTTCTCGTTTATGCAAATTTGAGAACAAGCGCCGGGGTCCATGCATTCGTCAACATCTGTAATACGAAAATATAATAAAAAATAATTATTAAGAAAGTTTTCATAAATATTATTTGTGTTTGTAACCAAGCTCGAAACGGCTTGACCGATTTTGTGAAATTTCTTGTGAATGTTCAGTGTTTTTACCCCTAGTGATAAGGGTTACCCTATTCCAATATTTTCAAAACTTTTTGGACAGCATTTTTATTTTTTTATAAATGTAAAAATAATTAACCCTTAATTTTCACCCTTCTACCACCATTTCACCATTCCTTAATTGCGATATTAGCTGAGGTCGATAACTATGAATAATTTATATGGCAAAACGTTTAGTACAATATAACAGACGTAGAAATTTAGTCCCATAGTAAAATTACCGAAATAATTGTCTTATATTTGTCATTAAATCATTATTAGACAAATTATTTAATAAAACACATTTCTCCTGCTATATAAATGGACTGGAATGTAATAAAACGTGAATCTACAATAAATTCGAAATTTAAACTTAGTGATTTAATTTATTTGTCCTCGTCTGCGGTTCACGTAGATATTCAATCACGTTACTTGTGTTGCTTCCATTTTGGATCAAACGCTATTAACGAAATAAATCTACCTTTAGTTTATGAATTGTGAACCATAATTATCTAGACTTTTTTTTGTGGTTTGAATCCGACGTCGTAGGACCCTATATATACTAAGTATTTATCAAGCTTTATATACTTTGTTTTACGTTAAATATCAATACCAAACTCTAGAGGTTACTAAATTGTGATATAAATAAGTAATACCTTACGAAATGGAACGGATGACAAAGATTGAAAGAAAAAAAAAAAACCCTTAAACAATTTTTTTCTAAATCTTTTAGGCAGTGTCAAACGAGCCTACGGGTCGCCCAAAAAGTCAATCATCATCATGGACACCCATTTTAGTTGGTGCGTTCCTGAGAGAGAAGTGTGCTTTTTTTAAACAGTTGGAGGTCGTATCTCCCTGCGAAGTCCAGGACTCGATTCCACAGTTCACTAGTTCTTGTGAAGCGGAAGACTTCAAAGCCATCAAAGTGATTTTTTTTTATTTTGACTGTAGCAATTCCCTAAAGCTAACATTAAGTCCGAATCTTAAAAATATGTTCTTTTACGGAATGCGATAATAAGCTGACTTGAATAATAACCCTTAAATCCCTTTATTTAATTTATTAGTTAAGCTAACGTTGAACAATGTCACTCGTTAGTAAATTCACCTGTTTTTTCGTTCAATATTTACATTGCCCCTAATACCAATTACCCTCTGTCATACGCGGACTGTTTTTCTAACCTTAGCCAAATGGAAAACGAAAATACGCTTTTCCGAGCTTTGAAGTTTGTAAGGCTTATACATTGGTTGCCTTTTTCTATTTCTCGAACTAATTTTATTTTCATACGGTTTCGCTAAATTATAAACGAATATATTTATTTATGAATATATAGTTATTGTTTTGACAATAATTTAACAATTAGTATCGCAAATAATTAAAACAAAATCGATTTTAAATCTCCCATAACAAATTCATGACCATTAGCACAGAAATTATTCAGTAAACTCAAGTACTACATATTTAAATGAACAATAACATGCATAAACGTGGAAATTATTATTTACGCAAACAGCGTAAGCCGTAGCTTAACGTTGAACTTGAGCCATCAAAACGTCAAGTTACATAACATACACAACAATTAATAGGCAGTTGAAATCTCGTTGGTTATGTTCGTTTTTACTGATAAAACATTACACGCATATTTTTAAATCAGCTAATTTAAATTCTATATAAACAGTTGTTAAGTAACTCACCCTCACAAGTCCTATTATCGACTAGCTTGTAACCCTTGTCACAATCGCAGTAGTAACCGACGGGTGTGTTCACGCATTTCTGTAGACATCCGCCATTGCTCTTGGCACACTCGTCCTCGTCGCACCTGTCACGTGGCTCGTCTTCGAAGTTGGGACAATCTGGTTTGCCGTCGCAGAGCTTCGACATTGGAATACACATGCCGTCACCGCAATCAAACTCGGTCTTTTTGTCGCATATCGGCTTCGGTTTTGCTGAAAAACACGTATTATTTTAAATGCTAGTAAAATAATATAGATGTGACTAAGACTCGGCTAGTATTTTTCATAATAAATAAACCATATTAAGAGATTATATAATAGATAATATTGTAATAATTAAATTATTTTGCTTTAGCTATCAATCACACCAAATGTCAAAAATTAATTAACGATTCACTGATTGCCAAAAGTAATTAATTTAGAATGATGATTGATGAATAATACTTCAGTTTATGTTTTATCTACGCGATTATCACACATTCCAAAGAAACAATTATTGGACACTTTGACTTTTTTTTATCCGTTTACTACAGATAGAACGTGGCCATGCTTGCTGTAAAGAGATGAGAACAATATTTTTTTAATGTTTAATTTATAATTATAATAATTACAAAATTATGATATTCATGTGCGTATAATCGTATTTTACACAGTTTCATTAATCACATATAATTATCTATTAAATATTTGGCAAATATTATATTCGCTCTCCTATAGTCACATACAGTCAGTATTTGACTCTAATTATCCAAAGCAATTACGAAACGAAAAATAATATCAAACGTGGGAGTTGGAAGAAAATAGCATATTTTTTGGAAATATTTCCGGTCAGGGAGAATGGGGACCCATTATCACAATCTTTACACACCCCCGAGGCCGGAGAAAATATGGAGCACAGCGCTATTTCGCAGGATTATCTCACAAATATTCTATGGGCGATGTTGTTAAATATTCGTAGTATATTAATCACGGCAGAATGGCTAAACGATCACTTTATTTCGTAATACAAATTTTCAGTTTAAGATTCAAACTGTTAAGAAGACAACTAGTACAGCCCGGACGCGTTTGTCATAGTGTATTACGCATTTTATGTAATACATTTTTGTAATAACACACGCAAAAAGAGTATTGTGGTTCTTGTTGATATTATCGCTATAATCGAGAAGTGACTTAAATAGTCACTTCTCGATTATAGCGATTTATTATTCTTTATCAAAAGTCATGTCAATTCCATCTTCCTCATCCATTTCGTTAGGGTATCGTATCAATATAATTAATTTAGTCTAGAGGCGTGACGTTTAGAATTACCAAACAAACTATATAAAGCTTTATAAATAATTACTTATGGATTCTAAATTGATACCTCGCTACGTATATAAACAAACTGATGAATAGACACAAAATACAAATTGTATGGGACTAAACGAGTTTTTGTATTTAAATTCTTGAGACTAAACCGTTTAAACAAAATAAAAAAAAATAAAGTATATTGTTATACTTTCTTGTAACTTCGCCGCCCGCCCAACGGCGTAGCGAAATTTAATTTAAACTCGTTTCTATGACAGTAATGAACTACCTTTTTCTAAAAAGAGGTAAAAGTGAATTCATGGCAGGACTGCCTTAATTTAATAATTTGTAAGTCGAGTTTTAGGAGATGTATTTTTATAAATCTACAGATTGAAAAAGTATATATAACGTAAACGCATGTGTTCTTAAACATCGTATAAAGCCTTTCTGTCTTAGTTTATGGTACTAAGAACGAAATTTAGGCTTTCCATTTCCTATCGTCGAAATCACCATGCCGCGGTACATAATAAATAAAAGTAGAATTGTTTGCCTTTTATCTTCTTTGAGCTATACCTCAAATGCATTATTATTGGTATAATAATTTTGCACCTATTTCATTTGAATTTATTATTAATAAGCTAGTAGGTGACTAGTTTACGGTGATACACACGTTGTTGATTTTAAGATCTATTAAACTTAACGATGTTTTCATTATCTGTTACTACAAGTATCAATTGCGCCACTAGAACTTATAATATCAGGTCCTATTAGACAACTTTGTTGGAAATGAATTACTAAGCAATAGAATTTATTTATATATAATTAATACTTACTGCAATTAATTTCATCGCTTCCATCAGGGCAATCCTTATCGCCATTGCAATACAACGATCCGGGAATACAACTGTGATCTTTGCATTGGAATTGGTCGAGCCGGCAAGTGTAGTTCCCTCTACAGATAGAAGGGTCCTCGTCGCCTCCATCTGGACAGTCGCGATCACCGTCGCACACCCAAGCCTTGTGGACACAGGTCATGCGGTCGCGGCACTCAAACTCTGTGGCTATGCAGGGCGATGTCACTCTGGGTGTCGATGCGCAGCCCTGGAAAATTGCACAGAGAACTTTACTATTATTCTGTGTTATTTGAGGTTGAATTAGCTTAAAGGTGCTTATGCAGTTTAGAGCAATTAAAATAGTTATGTTTCATTATATTTAATTATACGTTTGCTACTATCCACTTATATACCTGTCGCTATAAACTAGATCAACGATGAATAATACTGGTCATTTGATATCTAATATCTGACTATCGTAATATTAAATACTAGGAAGTATATCCAACGTTAAGTAGTAATGGAAGAATTTAATTTTTAGTACAACAAGTATAGCTGTTTGAAGACTCTTAATCACTCAATATGAAGTAAGAAAAAGCATAAGATCAGTCTTTTGTGCTTACCAATACGAAATTCATTCTCCCGGTATTGAATTAATGGGTTATATGCCATATGCGTTGATATAAGTTAGCCATGGATGTAGTAACAATTATAACATTTGTCGATTGTGTCGCCCTTACTTGCAAAACAGCCTTCTAATCTAGAAGATATATTTAATATCGCCTAAGAGTTATATCATACCTGACTGGTAACCGTAATTTGCTAGAAATTACAGTCTATATTGCAGATATTGCCAATACCCAGATTGTGTAATATCGACATGTAAAATATTGATTGTCAGTGCAGACGTTACAAATGAACGTTTTACAAGATTTTACGATGAATTTTTAAACGGAAATTGGAAGTAAAAATTGTCTCTATGAAAAGTACTAATTGCATAGGTTACTAAAGTAACGTTTATTCCCTTTCAATTTTTAATAGCCGTGGTGGCCCTGAGAGTCATCCATTAGATTATATCTTTTGGTAGTTAAATAATTAATATGTTTAAATGTTTTACTAATGCCTAAAGTAATTTTTATATCTAAGTATAGGACTCTGAATGTGGGTGTAAGACGAATATTTTATTAACGAATTTTAGTTAACCCGAAAAATACGAGGAATTGTTTGATGTTTATAAATAAGTAGCAAAACATTTCCATTAGATCGCCTAGATAATACGATAATGCTATTTTCTGAAATCAGTCGATTAATAAATAGTACATTATTAATAATTAAATATGAACAAATATATATATATATAGTATAGGCCTCAGATTTCTGTAACTGTTTAGCAGACATCTGTTTTTTTCTAATAGGCAAGTAGATGATCAGCCTTCTGTGCCTGACAGACGTCCTCGACTTTTTGGGTTTAAGGCATGTCGATTTCCTCACGATGTTTTTCTCCACCGTACGACTGAGCGTTGCCCACACGTCGTAGGATCGGGGTTCGATCCTACGACGTCATTGATAAGAGTATCACTCAAAAACCACTTGGCTAACACTGCTCTAATAAATAATCGAACTATTTCAAACTTATTATAAAACGTCGATAGAAAAAATACGTCAAAAATTAATTGTTACATTGTATTACATGCTTTTCGTTTTCCACTTTCTGCTAAGAGGCTCAAAGTAAACTTACAACTTTACACCGCACGTAGGTAGTATTATTAAAGTTATGAAGCACTATGAAACAGAATTACTTTCCATTGAAGGCTCCTGTATACTTGGGGTCCATTTTTTTATTATTGATATCTACCTTTTACAGTATGAATGCGGTCTCAAGTGTAATCCTTATCTCAATAAGAAGCAGGGACGGAACTTTTTATATCAATTTTGAAGATTCACAACACGAATTTTAATATATTTTTATAGAATAGGGGGCCATTGGCATTACCCGAAGGCTCGCTAGAGTGTTGCCACTTGCCAACCTTTGATAATTGGTCGAATTGGTTAGGAATAACATCGATTAATATTAAATAACCATATACAAATGGTTCCACACAATTGGCAGACCCTTAAAAACGCTCAGTGGAACGACGGACACCGGATAACATATATATGTATTTGCTTTAATTAATTAAGTGCCTCAATTGTTAAGAGTCGGCTATATTACATATATCGACTAAGCTTCATAAGAAATTGTCTAGTAGGTAATACAAATTATAAACTCCTAAGTCGTTACATAGATTATTCTGCATCATTTAAGTTTAAGTGCAACTCTCGGGCAATGTACTTAAGCACTTACAACGAACGTATTATGTATCTTTGAAGTAATAAAAGCGCCATCTATATATATTAACCTAGTATTGTACCGCAACACGCGCTCATTATACCCCAAAACAATTATGAGCGTTATAACAATATTTTCTTCTGTTCAGACCTTATATAACTAAATAATTATTCACATCTATCATGTCGAAAGAATCCTTTCGCAAAGTTGAAAAATGATGTTAGTAATAAGAATCTGTTCTAGGAAAACAAATTACGGTTGAAGATTTAATACCGTGACACGACAATATTTATCTAAAAGATATCTTTGATGAAAGTTTTCAAATCTTATTATAAATATATTATGAATTTACATTTTATACTTTTACGTACCTACCTACAAAAAAAGCGTAATTTAATGAAACTTTATAAACATAAAATACACTTGAGAGCGTATAAGAAACTTTAAATATTAATATTTATATCTACAAAAGAGCTAAAATTACTCACCATTTCATCACTTCCATCTGGGCAGTCTACGTCACCATCACAACGCCACCTCGCAGAGACACAGTGACCATCAGTACAGGAGAAGTGGCTTACAGGCTGGCAGGTCGGTGCCGGACACTTTACTTCATCAGTTCCATCACCACAATCATCATCACCATCACAAACCCATCTCTGCTGTATACACTTTCCGTTACCGCAGGTAAACTCATCTGAACGACATGTTTCATCTAAGAGAAAAATTATAGTCAGACGTTAATGTCGTAAAAGAGAGTACATTTAAACACTTAAATAATCCTTAATTAGTTCAAAGAGCAAGACTAATTTGAAGAAAGTGCTGGCAAAGAGGCGTAGGCATTGTTAAAACGTTCCGCAGGCACGCTTCAAGTGGCCAAGTAATGAAGGCGAGAAAATAAGAATAGTCCGTAGGTTGGATAATGAGAAAACGGGCGAGAATTATCACAAACAATCTAGCTAAGGAACGCTATCAGACACGTTTGTTATTAATACTCAACTACCTAGTCTAACAAATCTCTTGAGCGTAATGGTCTAAGAAAAATCATTTCCACTAGTCGGACGTGGGTTCTCCTTCATTTAATTAAATTCTTTCGTTCACTAGAATACTTATCAAGTCTGTTTGTGAGTAGCGTACTTATTTACTGCAATTCTTTTACAAAATGCGCGGCTAGATCACATTTAAATGCGATTTGTTAATACAGTCGTATTCCTTTGTAAGAAACAGGCGGCTTTCTTAATTAAGTAGCTCGTATACACAACGCTTTGTCTTTTGGCAGACATATGTATTACGTGACCTGTTTATGAAATATTTTAATCTCACTTAGCAAGTTCTGCTCGGTCATCGTTCAATTCAAGACGCTGTGCCAGTAAGATAAGTATTCTAAGACGGATAGAGTGTCGATAGAATATCGAGGCTCCGGCCCCCAATGATTGATTACAGTTTGCCTAAAACTGAATATACTTTTACAGAAAAAGTGTATTGTTTTTACCATAGGGAATATATCCTGATTAAAATGGTTGTAAACATGGGACGGGGGATGGAAAGCGATTACACGGGTAGAATTTAATATCTGAAAGCTGAAAATACGTTTTGGGAAATATTTCAGTCTGGTCTAGTATATTTAACCTATGAATTTAATACCAAATTTCTAACAGCTGTTTAAATTGCAAAGTGTGCTCTTTGAACTAATTAATTGCCGTAATACATAATTTTATTCTGGTCGATTTCATGCAGAACATTGCCAATTATGTATAGTGAAGTGGAAATTGATGAGATCCAATTGTTAGAATGAACGGGTAATAATTATGTAACAATGCAAACGTTTTTAAATGTTTATGAACGTTGAGTTGTAAATTTAGGTGAAATGAGTACTGACCATAATATATTTGCGCTTAAGAGAGAGCTTGTTTGTTTTTATATATAAAAGGTCTTAGTTCAGTAAAGATCTAAACAAATACAAGGAAAATTGACTTTAGGCGCGATAATGGCAATAAGGAAAACGGATAAATACACATTATTCACGTTTGTAAAAATAGAATCGTTGATAAACACAAACAAATAAGCACCTTTAGAACAAGTTACGAGCTTTTGAGGGCTTAATTTTAAGTATATTTGTCGACTGCTTTAACGCACAGTTATATTTAATTGTTAAGGATAACAAGGTCATATCTTTCACACAGTCTAAGTAGATGTATATCTGTGTAAGTAGATAGTTGTATTTTGTATTTATCTATTCATAAATTAAATTAATTAATACCTCGTATACTACAGTATTACACTTGTAAAAAATAAAATAAATCAGTGCCGCTACAATCTCTTTAGGTCTGAGCCTCAGATTTCTGAATCTGTTTCATGATCATTTTTCAATCTAATAGGCAAGTAGGTGATCAGCCTCCAGTCCCTGACACACGCCGTCGACTTTTTGGGTCTAAGATATGTCGGTTTCCTCACGTTGTTTTCCTTCACCGCTCGAGCGAATGTTAAATGCGCACATATAAACAAAGTCCATTGGTTCACAGCCGGGGATCGAACCTACGACCTCAGGGATGAGAGTCGCACGCTGAAGCCACAAGGCTAAACTACTTTAATCACTACTTCATTTATTCTTCTTCGTTGAAAAATTCAAGCATGTAAAAAAACTTAAAATTTTCTTTCATCGTACAATCTAAGCAGCTCAACAATGCGAACATAAACTTGTATAAAAACATAACCCTTACTGCATGCTTTCTCGTCTGACCCATCAGTGCAATCGAGGTTGTCGTCGCACATCCATGTAAGAGGAACACATTCACCCTGCGTACCTCTGCAAGTGAATTCTTCTGGACCGCAAACCTCCACTTCTGTTAACCCAATACCATGCACATGCTGAATAAGAATGATCAATTTATGAATACTTAATGACTACCTTAATATAAGCCCAAGAATTTCCCGAGTCAAGGCAAAATGTATTGACTGTCTTGACGATATTCTTATAAATATTCTATATTGAAGTAGCTGTGCGAGCAAAATTCTAATCTTGAAATGAATTGAATTTATCTGCAAACGCTGCGACAAAATTCATTTGTCAGCGGCCATAAGATACGTAATAACCAGAGGAAATTGAATTTTCCCATTCAACCCATTCAAGTTAAAAATTCATTGAAACTTTTTAGCTGACTAAATAAATTCATTCAGTGACTATTAAATTTTACAACCCTTCAAATTAATAATTTGTTCTTTTCGTCTACCGGAGTGGCCGAAATTCTAAATTCTAAAGTTGTTTTTTTTGATTTCGTTTTCAATTTCGACTCATCAATTATGGCCCCTGAAAAATGAGATGCGATGACCATGCGATGATTCCCAGCCAGGTTGTACCCAGCCTTACCACAGTTGTGTTCGTCTGATCCGTCTTGACAATCTGGTGAGTCGTCACATTGCCAGGACACGGGAATACAGTGTCCACTCGCACATATAAAGTTGTTTATTGTGCAATTCCGTTGGTCGGCTGTGTTTTAAAATATGTTTCAATACAAAATTACTAAATACTTTTTAATTGATTTACGTTTTTAAATAAAATATAAACAATGTTCATTGTAGACCACAAAGATGACGTGTAAAACCTAATTGTAATTCAGCGACGAAACGGGAAACTTTTATCATTTGGGTAGGATACTGTTTATATTCGTATATATTTAGTTCATTTTTTTATTATTTATTGCAGCTGTCGTGCATTTTTAGTTTTTATAAATGTTTTCGAAATTCTATATTAAATTGTCTATTTATACATGTTTTCTTAAAAATGATCTTAAGAATTACTCCCAAAGATAATTTTACCCATCGATTATTCCAATACCCTAATCATTAACCTTCATTTAAACAAGACGCTATCTAAATATAAACTCCAGGCAGATTAATAAATGCTTTGCTTAAACAGAAGCGACACTGCGTAATTAATGACACTAAATACTCCTTATTTCGGAAATAACCTTGTTTCACGTTGGATCCAACGACTCGAATAAACTTGGTCTTAATACTGTTTTGCTGAATAAGGCCTTTCTGTCAACACCGTTAATGTTACACAACAGTATTCATTTAGTTTAGTTTCTTCTTTGCATGAATTCTATTTTTAAATTTCGAGATTGTCAAATTAAAATTTTAATATATATAAATTACGCGTCACGTTGTTTGTCCGCTATGGACTCCTAAACTACGAAACCGATTTCAAGCAAATTTGCACACCGTAGTTTGATCTAACTTAAAAGATAGGATAGCTACATCTCAATTTATACCCGCAATATTTTTTTTTTTCAAAATGTTTGTTTATTATTTGATAGTCACAGCTAACAGATGGCGCTGTGTTGAAAGTACCAACGTTTCACATAAGCTACAATTTAATGGCATAACCACCAAAAAAGCATGGTGGTCGCCATGACTGTTGTTCTCCTACCGTTTCCCTTGAATAGTTTACTACTTACTACTTACTACGTATGCAATATAATAGAAACCTTAGCCACAGCAACGCTTGGCCGGTATCGGTATTGCTTACAACGCTTGCTAGTATCTATATAAGTTTAACGTGGTGAAGTGTCACTAATACTAATTCACCACAAATACAGTTTTATATAATATCATATATTTCAAATTATTTTAGTTAATTTTAAAGGCAACACGCCCTTCAACTACCCTTTTATGGGTCAGTTGTTTTATTGTAGAGCCACACATCAGCCAGTATCGTGTGCGGCAAATATTTATGTCCGTAAAAGCCTACAAAACATAGTAGTCCCATATAAAAGGCTTTTCCGTTACGTAGGGTCGACTTACAGCGGTAGTAAGTGTACAAAGTTGCGGTCTCTGTTGAAATAAAACCTTATGGTCTGGGCTTATTGTTACAGTGCAAGTAATTCGGTTTACAGGGGCTTATAAAGATCGGGTAAGATGAAATGAAGCAATTCTTTGCTTGTTTAATCTACATTTATACTTTAATCCCTACTATTATAAACAGAAAAGATTCGACTCTAGTAATGAAAAAATACCGGTAATATAGTAATAAATGTATTTTCCAACTATGTGAACATATTTCCAATACTTTAAGGAAACATTAAACGATTTATCAAAGTATAAGTTAAGAAGTTAAACAATCGTATTATGTTTCCTTTTTAGATTGCATGTTTTCTGACAAAAACAAAAAATAATTAACGTCAAAATGTATGAAATATTTAACAAATTTATGAATGTACAATTTATAGATATGATATTGGTACGATATTTCATAGCTCTCAACACTATTTTTTTATAAAATTTCGCTTGACGCAGGGCTCATGACGTATTTAAATGCAATTATTAAATTTGGTATCGACATTTCACAGCAAGCTCGTAATACTTCATCGTTGCTAATCAATATAAAATTGTTTAATTGTTATAAATAAAATATTAATATTAAGGGCAAGCAACCTCTAGGATCTTTCATGACATCGATTTAAATGCTATTCGCATGGAAAGTAAAAATGTGAAAATAATCTTCCAATAAAATTTTCTCAAAAGTTCTTAAGAACCTTATATTTTTTTAAGAAAAGCACAATCAATATTCACGAGGGAATTCCAATTTAATGGGTCAATGCGTTCAGACGACCTTTAAAGAGTTAATAAAAAACAAAAAGAATTCTTAAACTTTACCTGCTTTTACAGAAGCTGATTTTTAATAATGAAATTAAATGTACTTATTTATACCTTATATTTTTTTAGTAATAAATTTCGTCTTTGACCATTTACAAACATATAGATATTTAAGTAGTATAAGTCGGAAAAACAATAATCTATTTATACTTGCCTATAATGACGGATCAAGGACTCAGATTTATGTCTGCCCTACGCCCTGTTGATATATTTATGTTATGTATAGATATATAATGGAAAGGTACTACGGCCAAAATTTTTGAAAATTCAATACATAATAAACAAGACTTTACGCAGTAGGAGTACTTGAATATTACATGAAGATTTTCCTAATTAGCAGTTGCTCCGTGCCATAGATAGGTGAAGCACAGAATCATGTTTGGCATCACAGAACATGACTCTAATTACTACTAATATACACTGTACAGAACCTGCTTTATTAAATAAATGAAATACCCTGCGATATAGAATGCCTTTACTGTAATAAACGTAGGTATTTTTAATTAAACTTTTCCGTAAATTGTAAGCCGAGTAGTTAAATTTTAAGTTTCAATTCATACCCAAAGAAATTAGGAAAGGGCGAAAGATTAATTCAGAAAACTTCAAATCGTGATTAAGATTTTAATCTGCAGAGCCGCAAAGAACAGAATACAGGCATCTTAAAACTTTAACCATAAATCGTTGTTACATTTTTGGGCTATTAATGGAATGAAAGTTAATTTCCTAAAAGTTCATTATTCTAGGGATGACACTTCTCATATGTAATTTTCGGTGGCAACTTTGATTGAAAAAGGGGCGAGGCGCGACCCTACAATCTGCTTTTGTCACATGCCAACCCAGCTTTTTCATTGTTCCATTCTTCCCAATACAAAAACCTTTATCCACTTTGGTAACTCGATAGTTAGTTAGTGCAAGCTTAAACTAATCCAATTAATCGTGGTTAATTAAATAGTAATTTTATTGACAGAACGTATTGTGTTCGTCGTAAAAGAGTTATTTTAAAAGTTCGTTATTGACATTATAACAACATCGCTTACTTCCAATTGATACTTTAATAAAACAAATCGTTGTTCGTGAAAGCAAACGTTGCTAGTAAATATTTATCAATGTAGGGAAAATATAGGAGTATTCAAACAGTATGAAAATACGTACAATAACGGGACGAGGAATAAATTGTGAAAGTTTATCATCCCTCTTCCGCACACATTGTGAATACGGTATTTTTGGTAACGAAGTTATAGAAATTACTTTTTGAATATTTTTCATATAAATCAAATACTTACTGCAAGTTCCGGGTTCTTCGTCTGAGCCATCTGAACAGTCCTTTTCATTGTCGCAACGCCATGACATTGGTATACAACGACCTGTTTTGCATCTAAATTCCGATGAAGTACACGTGCGGCTTTCTGTAAAAAGAAAATTGAATTTTGTTGACAAAATGTCTTCCATTATAATGATTCAGAAGATGTTGTATGTTACAACTACTGTACGGCATGGCATTGCAATGCAACAAGGTCATAAGTTATTTAGTTGTATACTATGTTTCTTAAATTAATATAAATATTTAAGATGCTTAGGTGTCATTACACAGTATATTGTATGTTTTGTAGATTAATAACAAAAATTAAAATGGGAAGTTTCATTACAATCTTCTCAATGGTTTAGGAAGTTATAGACATACATTTATTTTTATGTATTTCATATTATTATCAGATACATATTTGTTTGGAATAAGTATTCCACAGTGCCTACGTAAAGCTCTACCATAAAAGAAAGTAACAATCAAAACTTTTTCGAGAGCTACGAAACTCGTAGCTCATTCGTAGCGTCACTTTAATTTACGATCGGAACGAGCCTATCACGTCATAAAACAATGGGTGGAGAATATTACCACACGGTTGACTTATATGAGGTGATTCACGCGACAAACAGCAATTTGTAAGCAAAACGCACACCGAAATCATATCAGGGTGCGAGCTTTCTGAAACCCGTATAATAAATTCAACTACACCCTCTGAGATTTCCTTATTATACAACGCGTATATACGCTTTATATCTAATTATCCTATTTACCTTTTACAAGATAACTATAATTATATAAACAAAAATAATTAGCT